GATGTAACTCGTCAGGTCGCATGGACTTGTGCCCCTTCAGGTTCCTCAGATGGTCTCAAATCTGGTCTTCTCCTCATTCTCCCAGTCCCTGCCTTTGCTCCCTGCGACTCGGGCAGTGTGGCTGGAGAACTGGCTGGTGCAGACTGAGGCAAAAAAGTCATTGAGTGCCTCAGCCTCCTCCAGGTAACCGGGTCTCCCATTCAATTCCAGAGAGGGACCACATTTTCCCTGGTCTTGCTTTTGTCACCGACATACCTATAGAAGCTTTTCTTGCTGCCCCCAATGTCCTTGGGACAGATTTCACCCTGGGCTTTAGCTTTCATAACCTGATCCCTGCCTCCAGGTAACCGGGTCTCCCATTCAATTCCAGAGAGGGACCACATTTTCCCTGGTCTTGCTTTTGTCACCGACATACCTATAGAAGCTTTTCTTGCTGCCCCCAATGTCCTTGGGACAGATTTCACCCTGGGCTTTAGCTTTCATAACCTGATCCCTGGCTGCTCAGACAATTTCTCTGTATTTCTCCCAGGCTGCCTGTCCTTACTTCCACACTCTGTAGTGGAAGGGCACACGTGGTTAGGAGTTCTCTCCCCAGCTACACTGCAATGTCTTGATAGCAAAGCTACTCCGTACAGACACTATCCAACTTCTCAGATCAATGTATCTACTTGCACTGAACTCACTCTCCAATCTTTTAAACAGAAAAAAAGACAATTTGCATAAGGGATGTGCCAGTATTACATGCAAAGTCCCTCATTGTGTCACACCGGTCTTAACTCGGTCAAAAAAGCTCCCTGGATCAATTAGTACCTGGTGGCCTCAGACAACTTTCTGTGGATTTCTTCATACACATCAACGTTGAAAGTTCTCTGGACAAATGACAGTGCCATCTTGAGAGCTTCCACGCGCAGCTGCGGACAGTGATCGGCAATGAACTGCAGCCGCTCGATTCGCATCAGCCCACTGTAGCTGGACGCATACTGCTCCAAATCCTGCAAACAAAACCTGCTGTTGGGAGGGGAACAAGCAATGCTAAATCAGGCTACTCACTGGGACCTGCCCAGGTTTTCCTGCAGTCCTGACCCCCTTCGTGAAGGGCAATGTGATTCAGACAAATAAAAAAAATCAGGTAAGATTATTTCATTTCTGCTTTCTTCAAACGTCAGTAGTTTCCTCAGAAACATTACTCTCCTCAGTACATTACAATTCACCTTTGGTTTTCTTCAGTTGTGATGCTGTCCATTAAGGCTAATCAGCTCATCCACTTTAAGCATTGGTTATATCACCTGTTAATAACTGTCAAGATTCCATCATTTGAGCTGAATTTTCCTAAACCAGACAACCAACCCACATTTAGTTTTTCCTTGAAAAATAGCTTCCATAGGACAATTCGCATTCTTTTGCTCCTGCTAATTTCTTAAAACACCTCCTTTGAGAAGAAACAAGGTCTTTTACTCCTGAGGAAGGAGCTGAGGTTTAATTTTAAGCCTTGGGGTAGGGAGAGAAGAGGAGCACAAAATGTCTAGTAAAGATACGATATGGCATTGAGGGAGATTTCCTAAAGACACAAACAACTGCAGCAGAACGTTCAGGGCAAAGTCAAGCATTCAGGCAGGAGGAAACTCTAGAGTCAGGTGGCCTGTTCACATTTAATACGCATCCCATGTCACGTCTGACTCCCTCACCCCACAGGTCTAAATTAAGATACTGCTATAGATGTCACAGTAACATTTTCAAACATAACTCTTGCCTGATTCCGCGCAAGAACGATTTTGCTCCGAGACTAAAACAGGACTGTACACACTGAAGATTGGTATTTAGGATTCCTGCTTTTTTTGCTACAGACCTTGAAAAATATAAAGGCAGGAGCATTCTTTCTTCCACAGTTTTACACCTACGGTACACAATACTCCTGAAATCACTGAGTAATTTCACTTTATTTTCCAACTCTTTGAATGCCAAAGGGAAATTACAGTCCTTCGCATCAGTTACAGTGACAACAAAATCACTAATCTTTGTTGAACACTTAGATGTTATCAAAGACATAAAGGTCTTCAGAACAGAATTGAAAAGGAATGAAATCAAACAAGGTATCAGGTCATATGCTGAAAAAAAGATCCCACCACAAAACCAACCAAAAAGACCCCCAAAATAAACAAAAACCCCAACAACAACAAACAAGTGAATGTGCAGTAAACAGTGAATAACTGTGACAACTGTTGTAAGGCATGGAGACAAGAGCAAATTAAAGCTTCAGAGGTCCAGAGATGATATCCAAAGCTTCCTAACTGAATGCTTTATTTTGCCATTTTAATGTTGCTTTAACTTTTTCCAATTAACGTTTTTGTTCTCTTCTGCAACACCCATCTCTTGCTGTTACAGAATTGATACATAAAAATCGGCCAAAATACAGCCTTTTATAACTCTGCAGCTCTGTGGGTTTTAGCCAGTCTCCAGAGGATCAAACAATGAAAGTATTCTGTCCTAACTATATACTTAAAGTTCCTCAAAGAACAAACCTCAAAATAAATAAATGATGTCTCAGAGATGTACTAAACTGAAATGGAAACTGTGTCAAACAGGCAGCAAACCACAAACCAGCAATTCCTCCTTCCCCTCCGAAGGGGCAGTGGAGGTCAATACGTGACAAGGAGCTGCAGAAGAAGTCACTGCTGTTCCTACCCCACCTTGCTTTGAAGAGAACCTATTAATCCCTAAATAACAAGTTGACAAGGAGTAAAATGAGAGAGTTTTTCCCAAAACCTTAAAGGAAGAGGCCATACCCAAGAAATGTAACCCACCAGCCCTCGACCAGCACGTACCAGAGTGGGGTTCTCCACCACATAGTTGATATCAGGTGCATTTTGCTGATCTTCTTGTGGATCTACGTCGATCTGCATGGGCTCTACTGCACCCTAGAATAGCAAAATGAGGTCAAAGGTAGCTTTTTACATTTGAGCAGGAAACAATTATGTGATTCAATCTATTAAGGACTTGCTCAAATACACATTACATTTTAAAAATGAAAAAATACCCCTTCGTCTTTAGACACATTTAGGATTTTTCTCTAGCAATGACACTACTCAGTGCTGCTTGTTTTAGACAAAGCATCGTGCTAAAGCTCAGCATTCCCACAGTGCATCTTATTTTGTTTGGTAGATTATCCAGCAAGAAAGTGAAGGCATTGATAAATCTAATTCTACAAAGTATCTATCTCAGGTACGCATGCCAAATCCCAGATGACATTCCATTTCCCTTCCTTGAGCAAGAGCAGGCATTGACACTCAGCTCAAGAAGTTCCAAAAGTCAAAAAGCACCCAAAAAAATCACCAGAATCTTTCAAAGATGTTTTAAAGCTTAAAAGTAATATTTTGGGGAAAAAAAAAAACAAACAACCAAGCCCCCCCAAAACCAAAAGTGACAAATGTTAAACTTTTTTAAAGTACTAAAAAAATGTAAAGCAAAACAAACAAACAAGCCCCCCCAAAACCAAAAGTGACAACTTTTTTAAAGTACTAAAAAAATGTAAAGAACAGAATGTTGAATGGCAATTCCACAGTTTCCAGCAAATACTGGGGGAAAATTTATCTGCACTGCAAAAAATTTATTATCAGTTGAACTACCCTGCTAGAGTTATCCAAGACAAATTGTTTAGGTAGATTCTCTTGTGCAGGAAGAACAGAATTTTGCTCTCCCAGTGTATCTTGCACCACTTTGAACCACACGAGAAATCACACCAGTGGCCTCGGTACAACTGCACCAATACAACACCTGGGCATCTTCCCATTTAAGACTAATTTACTACACAGTCCCACAACCAAAATTGTTATGCTATCACCAAATTCTTTTTTTCCTAGTCAAAAGCATGCTGAACATTCTCTCTAGGTATTACCCATTTAAACTCGGGAAAACCAAGCTGCATATATTCTTATAAAATGCTGAATATGTGCAGATATTACCACAAGCAACACCTGATTCGGGGTAAATCACGTGAGAGGACCTTAAAAAGGACAAAAATGCCAACTACCTTGCCCCCACCAACACCAAATTATGCTCATGCTCTTATTGATTTTGCTGTCTGTTAAGAAATCAAAGCTAGAGAAGGGTTTGGTTGGGTTTCCTTTTTGGGAGTAGGAATCAGGCAGATCCAGATTTCCTAACTCTAAAAAATTGATGAATTTTGTATTCACCCAAGAGTCTGTTTATTCTTCAGTATCAAATACGCACATATCTCAACATTAATATGAAATCTCCCAAAATCTGAAGTAAATGCAAGTAAAGCATATAAAAACTTATTTCCTAGTTCATTATTCTGTGTGTGAGGGGAGGCAGGGTGCAAAGCAGCGTTTGCTTGTCCAGATCATCGCTCAGGAGAACTGTGCATAAAACCATTTAAGTCACCATATATTAAGGCCATTACTTTTTCTTTTTTTATCCACCTTATCTCTTTTCTTATATCATAAACGATACATGTCAGGGTTGCTTTTTTTAATGCTGTATTTTCCTACCGTAGTAAAAACCTGATATGGGCTCCTTAGAAATCAGCATTACAGAAACTAACAGTAACTCCAGCTGGTGGAGCAGAGTGATCTGTGCCCTGCGACGCTGGCAGGATGTATTTCTCTGCACTTCTCAACTCCCAGACACGCAAAAAATCCCTCAAGTGGGCTGGAAGTCTCACTGGGACATGCAAACTCTGACATTTTCAAGCTAACTCTTTCTTTTGGAAGGAAGACGCAAGGTTTACTTAAGAACTACTCGCAAAGCAAACAGACCAGTGCTCACTCCTTGAGATTTTCTGAGCCCAGAAGGGTGCCCATGGGAAGGTGCCTCATTCGAGGCGATCCTCCGGCACCCAGCCTGAGGCACCCCACAGTATGGGGGGAAGGTGGGGTGCCCTACTGCTGGAGGGGGGCCGGGATAGACCTGTCACTGAGGAGGAAGCCGAGCTGCCCCCCAACCTGCCCTGACCGAGCTCACCGGCCGCGACCAGCAGAGGGATGGCGGCTGCTGTCACCGCAGCCCCAGGCTCACGACCACGACCCCCCCGGCCTCCTGCGGCTTTCCCCCTGAGCAGACCCTCAGTTCCCCTCCCCCCGCCCCCCGCCGCCCCCTCCTCTGCTGCCCCGACGGCGCCTACAACGCCAAAACCGAGCCCGGGCCGCGCTGCAGCGGCGGGGGAGGCCGCGGGCGCCGGAGGAGGCCGAGCTAGGCACCGCTCCTCACGGAACGCCGGCGGAAGCGACACAGAGGGACCCGGCGGAGGGGAGAGCCGGGGCCCGGCCCAGAGCGGCTCCCCTCCCGGCGAGGCGGCGGCGGGGCTGAAGGGGCAGGCCGCGCCGCCCGTGGGCC